AAGGCAGGCACCACTGGTCGTAGGGTTTTCTTCAAAATCAAGCAAGTCCTTGATAGGGAGCTCTGCAAGTTCCAAAGTCCTAGGGTTCCCTATCTAAATTATCATTGATTTGTATGTTCATAAGTTCCCTATATACATCAATCTATTTAGGTGTTTTTATTAATATCTTCGCAGCATTCAAAGCCATCGCCTTCTTACCTGCTGTCCAATCTGCAGTTCTTTTCGTCCACTGACCAAGCGCGGTCGTGTGGTGAAGCGGTTGAGCTGGATCGCCAGGTGATCGAGCTCTTACCGATGTTGTCTCCCTGTGATCTGCGACCCTTGCAACAATTGGCCTGGCACTGCCACTGGACTTGGAAGAAAGACATCACACGTTTTGTTTTGGGTTTTGGTTGGGGTGGTAATTGTATACTGTATACTCTTCAAAACTGATCATGACGGTGTCACTGGAAGTGACTCAGTGGGGTTCACACAGAGTGTGACCTGGAGAGGATTGATGTTCAAAGAGTGTCGCAAACGGATCAATGCTGGGCTGGCGGACTGAAATTAGGTACCATATGGTACCATATTGAATCTTGACCACAAATACCCATGATACTTCACAACCAATCTTCCCTTTTGCCCGAATGTTGGCCCTTGTATACAGACCCTTTTCACCCTTCAGAGGGGTACCTTTTGCTCACCATCCCCATCCCAAGGTCGACAACACCCGGGCGACACGGGCAGCGGCGACACGGGCGGCGAGACAGAGGGCTGGTGCCAAGCGGTTCTGGACGAAGGGCCAAAGATGCCTTCGACCAGTCAAGGATCGCTTCAGACGGATGCTCGGCGGGCGGGCTTGCAGAGGCTCGCGTCGATCTTGACTGGAACAGTGGAGTGAGAGATGTGAGAGAGTCTAAAAACTCCCGATGTAAGAAATTTGTATTCGCATGTCCGTTTTTCTGGAAGCATGCTCAATCCCCTGTAAAACGAGAAGGCAGAAAAACGAACGAGAACCTCATGTGGCATGAGTTTGCCCATAAGGGGCTCTTGGAGGTTGTTGTGGCACCGGGGTGTTCACCTCCAAAAGCCTTGATGGTCCCAAGCCGTTCTTGCAAAACAAAAAGGGTCTAAGGTTCTGGGGCGTGGCTTGAGCAGATAGAACCCTATTTAATTATACAACTGTTTTGGGCATCCTCAAGTCAAACTATGTGTGTTTTTGTCTGTGCACCCGAAGTTAAAACAAGAGGTTTCTGCTGCAGACCAACTTTGTCAAATTTTATTGAATGGCATCTATCCATTTGATACATCATACACGTCAGTTGTTCAACCATGTGTCGTTCTTATGTCACACATGCTTACTGACTTCATGTGTATTGAATTGGTTGTGCCGACCAAACATAACCAACTATGTTTTAGAGTCGAATTGATGGTTATTAGTAGTTTCACTACACTAGATTCATCTTAGTACATTTCCTTTTATTTATCCTTTAAAGGTTTCAGCACTCCTCAACATCAGCCCCCTGTTAAGTGCTTGGTCCGGGAGGGGCTCCCGTGGATGCCGAGAACCTCAGGATGCCGAGAAGAGACTGTCGAAGCTGCTGCAGAATCTGCGCGTGCCTCATGTGGTGGCCAGTTCACAAGCTGTGCCCGGGCGCCTCGGAGTTACCAGTGATGGACAAGAGGTATCCAGTGACCTGAACTAGGACCCGGTCGACCTGGAGTTAACCTCTGGTGACTCAACCAATAGGTTGAAGTTACCTTATAGGACCTTATAGGATAGCCAAGTTCGGGTTCTTCAACCTTTGCTGGTGATGGATACGAAAGACCACCAGTAACCAGAGACCGTGTTGGAAGGTGTGTTGACCCACCCACTCAAGACTCCTAGAACGCATCACAGGACCCGGAAGGCAATTAGAGACGTTGGTACCAGGTGAAAAGAAGCAAAGGTCAAACAGTTTGCACTGAGTGTTTCTTGTTGCTTCCAGAACTTCCAGACTCACGCGGACTATCCACCTGAGAGAGTCCAAACTTGGATCGAGTCGTTTGGAGTCTCAGGGTCAAAGCGCTTTGGGGATATGGACTTTTGGATTTTGCCCAAGGTGGGCCTCTGGGGTCCGCTTGGTTCTGTGTTTCCCCCCCAAAGATGGTAACATCCTTTAGCACCCTTTAGCAGTATAAAGAATCTATAGTAACAATAGTATGTGCACTGTACACTCCATGCAATCATCATGCATATGCAGTTCACCACCTGTTTCGTATTCAGAAAATGGTCCTCCGAAATCATGGCCATGCCGTCCACGTAACCATGATAGCTCTATAGGGATTGTGTACATCGGTCCGTCACGACTGGCATCAGTCTATAGTTCCTTCGGTCCCCCACAGAAGATCCTCCAAGAATGGATCCTGAACAAGACAGACTAGGGCGCCCTGGACCCAAAGGTGAGTGTTTGACATTGGGCCATCCAGAGATGATGTTTAATTCTTTAAACTGTTGTTTCAAGTTGTTTCCTTTAGGGGATTTTCAAGGACCCCGTGCTTACGACTTTCAGGGCTTTTGACACCGTGCAGAGCAATTTCCCCCAGAGGTTGCTCCGCAATCCTCAGGAGCATCTATCGATTGCCGGTGTGGTTTCCTGCGGCCAATGCAGTTCTGGACCTCAACGTCGCAGGGGATCGATTGATGAGCCCTGGAAATGGAAGAAAAGGATCATTGACATGAGGTGAAGCTGTGAGAGGCTGTTCCTTCAGGAGATAGGCGTGCAGGGGTTTACCAGGAGCTTGCTTGGGCCTGCGCTGGTTTGACATGTCGAAGAATGGAATCCAGTTTGCTGGTGATGGAGCTTTGCATGTTTGGCCCGAAAACTGGCTCGAAGCTATCATTTGTGCAATAAAACTACTCCCCTGCAGATTAGCATGGAACCCCACAACCACCATATAGTGGGTTGGTATTGGGAAACTTGTCTTTCACATGTCCATGTTCAGGTTAGATGTTCGTTTACAGGGGAGTACTGGTACGGAGGCCTGGGCAAGGTGAATCACTCCCATGCTCCAAGGAGCGGCAAAGCCAGCGGCACTGCAGACATGCGACGGCGACAGCCACTTGCTTGGCAACAAATCATAATGAACGCCATGTTCACTGTAATTGTTCATCTTCCAAGATGGATTGCTTGCGTCCTCACTGTCCTTTGAATTCATGTGTTATACGTTATATTGTTCCAAAGGAAAGCTGGGCGCAACCTGGCGCTGTCTTAGCCTGCCATCTGTGTAGCTGTAACCCGACTCACCACTGCCACCGCCCGCCGAGACCCACGGTGCGAAGGGGTGCCTGGTGACCCAATGACCGGTCGACTGGGAACGACCTGGTGGTGTAGTGTAACAAAGATCCTTAGTTAAAACCACCAGGTGATTAGAAAAACCTGAAACAGCTCAGCAAAAACCTGGATTTTCTAAGGTTTTTTCAGGTGATTGGAAAAACCTGAAACAGCTCAGTTCGGTGGATTTTGTTCAGACCATTCAAACCCATGCTGGGCCGCGAATCCGGCCTCGCCACGCCCCAAACGGCATCGCCCAGTCGAGAGAACGCACCGGTTCGCACCCAGGACGGACCCAACCACCGCGCGACTCATCGAAGAACGCACCGAGGTTGCAAGAGGTGGGCCTCACCGTCCACCGCTTCGACACAGCGCAGCTGCGGGGCCTGGATGACCAGCAGCAGCTGGCGCGCCTGGCCAGCGCGGTGGCGCCCAGTGGCCTGGAGCGGTTGGTTTTAGAGAATTAGACGTCGTTGGATTTCATATATCATTAAATTGTGCTCTGTTTTTTTGCTGTTCCCAGTGTGTGTGTGTGTGTTTTTGTTTTTGTTTTTATTAGTGTTGTTTTTTTGGGGGTGGTTTTGACTTATAGTGACGCCTTGATCATGGGTGTTATCTTTGTGTTGGTTTTTGTATGTCATTTTTTTACACAACAAGGTTCTCCCAGTGGTGATGTGTGACATTCTTTGTGGGTAAGGGTAAGAACCTTTTTACCCATGGCGTCCCGTCGCTTGAGGGCACAGACCTTCTTCACGATTCTTCACACATGGCAAAGGAACAAGGAAAACAGAGTTGTCTTAGTCTTGGGTGATTTTTTAGGTATTTTCTTTGTGGGTGGGTCCCGGTTCCTCAGAGCAAATTCCAGGTTGCATCGAAGCACAGCAGTGGCTGGACGAGCGCGGTTGACGCAGGGCGGTGCGGTTTTTCGGTTGTACCAAAGAGGGCGCAGCCAGGGACACTGCGTTTGCTCGCTGGGTGTGTTTTGAAATGGGGGACATCCCCAGCAAAGGTGGAGCAAGCTGGTTTTGGATTGAGATGCTTTTTGCTGCATGTTCCCTTAACCAGGATTCTTTGCGGATTACTTCAAGGCACACCTAGCTGAGCTTAGCCCGAGTGAGAAGATAGCTTGTGTAGCTTTTCAGGATGTGAGTCCTCGGCTGGAGACAAAATCCACAGCATCTTGCCAATGGACGCAGCGAGCAACACATGGCACAGGCAGTTTCAGCAGCTCCTACCTGGAGTGTCAGATCATCTCAGATCGTACCTCAGAAGATTGGGTACTAGTACCTACCAGGACCTTCAAAGTGACCTTTTGAGATCCCAGTTTGAGGTCACTTAGTCCATAAAGAGGTCACAAACACAGACTCCAGTCAGAGGTAGCGAACTGAAGGTCCTGGTACATGTTTTGTTGTTTGGGTGATGTCCCATTTTCTGCCGGCACAGCCGCGGCATCGGGTCCAGGTATGCAGAGCACCAAACACATTCGTACTCAGAGGTTCGATGGCACAACCCAGATGTCTTTTAGGTAAGGGTCCATATATAAACCATATATAAAGCACCTTTTGGGGGATTGCGCCATCATGTGCATTTTTTTTTCTGAAACTGTATCATTCTATCTCGCGCCGGGGAGAGGTCAGATGGCGACGGTAAGGGTCTTCCGAAGACTGTTCAGTGTCCAGCAGACCAACAGACCTTGAGCTTCGGTAGGCTGGTGGTCAAGAGCAACTTCAGTCGAGGCGTGGGGATGTGGCGACGGGGGCGGACGGTGGCGACCTGGCGACGGTCGAGCGGAGCGCTGCGGTGGGCGAAGAGGGGCCTGATGGACCTAGGCCTCCAGTCGTACCGAACCTGAGAAGGTGGGACTGGGGTGGGTGACATGAGGGTCCAGTCATACCGAACCTGAGGAGGTACGACTGGAGGTGTAGGGATAGGGTGTGTAGCTCAGTCTTAGGGAGACCTACCAGGCCAGTGGCCTGCCAGCTTTGCTCCAGTTGCCTGGATGAGATTTCCACTGAAAGTCTTCTTCATCCCCGATCCCTTGATGGTCAATGACCATTGAAGATCCCTTCATGTCCACCAAAGATGAAGATCCTTCCAACGTGGCGGAAACACCACACCCAACACCTGTCCTGTGTGAGGACGACGCAGAGGCAAAGCGCCCGATTCATGGATTATCTTTGGCAGGCACACTCGCTTCAGTTTTTTTGGAAGCTGATCCCATCGTGGGTTGATACATTCGTGTTGGGGCTCATGTCTGAGGGTGTTGAGATTAGCTGGTAGTTACTGTACATGCTGGTGCTACCCCATTACCCTAATTTCTAATTTTCCTGAAATCTCTTGGAAAGGGCCGGCCACACCGTATGCGGAATCAAATCCAATGCACGCAGCATCATTTTCTCGTGTTTTACTTCCATGTGTTTTTTTCAACGACCATGCGTAAACGAATTCTTCGCTGCCAATCCCAATCACTCAGCACATGCTGATCATCTTGCAAAGAGTTTTCAGTCACAGTCTGCACCCAAGCTTTTTGTTGAGTTGGACCATTGAAAGAGCTCGGTTTACCTGGCCTTGCAGTCTAAACATCTTAGTAAAACCATGATTTTTCGATAGTTCAGGCTATCAACATCAGCCAGCAAGGGTATACATCCCCCAATTCCCGAGCGCTTCGCTTCCTTCAGCCTTCTGGCCCTGAATAAGCAGCGCTTTGACCAAACGATTGTAGGGTTTAGCCGTCGCATGAGAGGAAAGGTGAGGAGAGGAGAGGAGAGGACGAGGTGTTTTGCGCGGGCCAAGCAAAGTTGCGTCAAGGTTTCCGTGGGAACCCGGAAGAGTTTATCAGACTCCCGCTCTCCGTGTGTTTGACAGCAGGACGCCCCCCCTGCTTTTGAGTAAGGGCACCTGATGTGTTGGGCAGAAGTGGAGTAAAGGGTCCGGACCTGTCCGCTGACGAAGCTGCGACGTTTTTGCCATTCTTCCAGAAGAAAGCGTGTGCCAAGGGTGAGCACACCATCAATCCATTTATTTCTTGCATAACCCAATTCCAATCATTTAGGGAACAAGAGCCTAACACAATCGTGTAGATCGAGAACCCACGGCTATCATTTCCCAGTTGCCACCCACCCCTCCCCGCCCCGTTTCCATGCCGCGGATGCGCGGATGCAGGTGGTGACCAAGCCGGCGGAACCCATGGCGCAAGGGGAACAACCCATCTCCCAACGGCAACGCGCCAAGAACATCAGGACCCACCAGCACGGTCTTCGTCGTCTCGTCGTCGCGGCGCGTTGCTGACAGCGGTCCAGGTCCAGCCTTCCGGCCTGAAATTCTGTGGTCCAGGTCCAATTCCAGTGTGACCTATGGATCTTCCAGCTATGCAAGCTTTTTACATCGAAACTCTGCATAGTTGCAAGATCCAGGTGTAGTATATTCCAGTCCCATCGGTTGTGTTTGGGATTCGTTATTCTTTGTGTGTGTGCAGGTGCGCAGGGTGTATCATTGTACCGTGCGGCACTGTGAGTTCAAGGCTGTGGATGTTTGTTAGAGACGAAGAGAAGTCCAAGCAAGTTGGCGATGGTTCCTTTTCTCCTTCTGCCCAGATCGTTCAACATCCGCTTCTGCACTTCCATGCAATTCCGATCCCTGTTGCCTCATATATTGGCTGTGGGTCAAAATCTCACCCTACAAACAATGGTAGCTTGACCACTCCCTTAGAGAGGAATCGTTGTTCATGGGTGCCGGGGTTTTGACTCATCTGCTTGTTTTTCCATGTTGACAAAGCAAGACAAAGCTGAGTCCTGTTGAGTCCTGTAGTCCGTTGCAGGACCCAACATCTACCCGTACGGACTACCGTACCCGGTCAACGTCGACCGTCCCCGATGGCAGTGATGACCCAGTTGCGAAGGGGTGAGCTTTCATCAGCTCCAATGAACGCTTGAGGAGAATCCTTGTAGGAAGCGCCCGCATCAGGTCGTTGTATCCCTTTACCAAATCTTAAAACAAAAACGACAAAATCCTTCATTAGAGCCATCATGTGTAGAGGCTCCCTACAGGCTTTTGGAGAAACAAACATGCAACAGCACAAACTAAAACCCGCTAGTCAGTGGCGCTAGTGCGGTTGGTTGGAACATGTTGGACATATCCAACCTGTACTGCCAAATGGCCGTACAAAAGAACGCCGCAGCACTCCCCAATGGATCCCAGTTCACACTAACCAGAGCTTCGTTCTGTCTATGGTTTTATTCGTCTTTGGAAACACTAGGTTTATAATGCTTTGCTTGGGTCCACTGGCATGGTGTATTTCAGTGGCACACTGGACCTGGTTGCCTAGCTTGGATCCCCTAATTAGCTCCTCCTGATCCTCGGTGCGCTTCGGATCGCGCGAGACGTGCGCGGAGGAGGAATTCCAAGTCGGGCGTCAAACAGGCGTGGCGACACCGGAAGAGATCGCAAGAAGAGCCCGCCCTGGGCTCTCAAGGTCCTTCTAAGCTAGAGCTGGTATGGGTACTTGGAAGCGGCAAATACTTGGGGGTTGGTGATGCCCAAACCCTGTTTCATCCTGGGCAATGTGTCGGTAAATCTGAGTAATTCCTCCCACGGAGATCGCTGACCTCAGCTGGGGGGAATGATTTTTGTTAAAGTTTGACTACTCCTCAGTGGGGGTTTCCACTACTCAGCGACCTCATTGCATTCAGCTTGACCCACCAGTCGGGTGTCATGATCTGAACATTTTGTGCATGCAAAGGCTACGACCCGGCTATGAAGGAACCCTGTGCAAAGCTCACTGAAGAGAGACAGCGAAGACACGCCAACAAACACACTCGAATATTTGGCAGTCAAAGGACATGTTCCCTGCACCGCCTGCACCTACAACAGCCTCAGATTTGTTGAGGTTGAATGCTTTGTGAAAGTAGAAGGCTTTTGGAGATCCACCCCCCTTTTGGAGACAGTTGGCGCTTTTCGCTTCTCTACATGCTGGCGGTTTGGGTTTCAGGGTAGGTCAGGTTTTTCAACTTCAGGTTGGAATCATGCCGGAGAAGAGGTCGGTGCGGAGGTGGTGGTCGGTGCGGAGGTGGTGGTCTTTTGTTGAGACGGTAGACTTCCAACAGAGGTTGAATGACCCGAACTAGACTATCCCAGTTTGCTACCCCAGGTTACGGGTCCTATTTACGGTCACTTAACCTCTCTTGGTTTCGAGTCCAAATCGACTGCACGATCTTCGCCAGAGTTGCGCCTGCGGCGTTTCGGGCAGGTGGAGCGTCCCCAGAGGTGCCAGTCAGTGGTCGTTTTGGAGCAGGGGAATAGAGTGGAGTAGTTGGCAAAGGGTTCACTGAAGCATTCGGATCAATATTGATGTGTGTTCTTTTTTGGTTAGGGGGGAAGGCGTGTTTTGAGGGGTGGAAGGCGTGTTTTGAGTCTTTCCAGGCTTTGGCAGGTTTGGGTTTTGGCGTGCTCACCCCATCTTCACCATTTGACCTTTGCGTCACCTCTCCATGGATCATGTTGCGTTGGAAGATCCAATAACACCGAGCATCTAGAACTGGGACCTCATGACGAATTAATGTTCAGGTAGTAGTCAGCAACACTTGGATGGCGCTGAAAAGGATCAGCCCAGTATTTTGTTCTCAAGCATTGACTTGTCCTGAGAAGGTATTGGGGTGCCAACTTGCCAACTTGAATTGATGGTTTTGCAAGTGATTTTGTTTGACGGCAGGTTTTGTCGGGTTTGTCCTTGGTCTTTGAGACATATCCACTTGATGGCCGTTGGAAAGAGATATTGATGTGTGTGCTTGTGTGCTATGTTGTATTGCAGTTGTTCTTCGTTGTTCTTGTCATTTTGTTGTGTGACGGTGATGTTGATGTTCTTGATGGACAAGATGAGACAGGCGCCCAGTGACGCCCAAGCATGACGATGTTGGACCAATATCCACCCCCTGATTCCTTACCCAGACACTCCATGTATGGTATATTTGGGGTCAATTGATCGGCATATATTGCAGTCCCATTGGTTGTGTTTGGGTTATATACCTGGTGAAACCAGCCAAGTTCGGCAGGGAAGATGGAGTACGTATGTCGGGTCCTTGTGATCCACCGATCCACCTGGCCCTTTTTGAAGACGTCCTCTCACCTCAGGTTCAGTAGGACTGGACCCTCCAAACGCTCCCCAGTGCCACCTTCTAAGAAGGTACTACTGGAGGCCTAGGGTCTAGGGTGACCCTGTCTTCGTACCACCCAGGCCATCAAATGTTAAATGGGAGTCTTGGAGCCATGGGTTATAATGGAACTCACCGACCTGTTGTGCCCCGAAAAAGGAGGCCTTCCCTGCTATATAAGCACAGGGTGCCAGTTTCGACACGAGTTCGGGCGCAACTGGCAGGCAGGAGATGCAACAGCAGGAGGAAACCAAGGCAAGCCTGACATCGTCTTGTAGTTTTTTAATGTGTTGTTTTTCTGGATTTGACACCTGGACCTGACATCGTCTTATAGTTTTTATAGCAAATGCATTGAATTTGTCCCGTCCAGCTTCCAGCTGAAGTTTGGATCTTGTGGGGGGTTGTAAGAAAGCGGGCTGTGACAACGGTCACCGGTCACCACCTGGAAAGCCATGTGTTCCCCAATCACTTGTTAATATGTTACTCTATTATGTGTTGGTTGTGAGTCTCAAGAATTGGAACAACTATGAATGTTTCTGTTTGCGACTGGGTTTGAATCCTGAAGATATTTGACCATTCGATGTGCTGCACCATTGCCAGGCCCGCAGCCGGCCCAGCTCTGCGATCTCGCAGCTCAACTTGGTTGGACTCTTCCCGTGGAAAGTGGGATTTGAAGGATGCTTCATGGGCTAATATCAGCTGACAGAGCCAGAAAATGGAGTGCAAAGAGTCACTTGGGATTGCATTTAGGCACGGGTTTGCAGCATTTTGTTGGCTTTCCACAATGAGAGATTAATGAAGCTCTTCACGTTTGCTGCGTATTTTGTGAAATTAGAGGCTTTGGACTTCCACGATTCACAAATGGGACGTGACCCGACCAGGGGCCCAGAAACAACCAAGCAACTCAGGTAGAACAGACTCACACGGGAGTGAAGGCATTCTTGAAACAACCTAGTTTCCATGAATGGTCCTAATTATTCTTATACTTCTTGGCTTTCATAGCTTTCATGTTTTTTGTTTGACTTGCTCCAAAAATCTATCATTCGGCTACCAGTTTCTGGCTCGACCGAGAGAAAAAGCGAGCTTGAATCAATGAGTTTGAGTTCCCTCCGCCTCTCTCGCCCAGGCGCAGTGTTCCGGTCAATCCAGTCCTCCAGTTGACCGATGCCACTCGAAGCGGTTTGCGCGCACAACGCACGGGTGCAAGGTATGTGAGATGCGCAGAAGAATGCGGTATAGACCTGGGTTTGGGGTCTTCGCCCTATAGTATAGTGCCTATATGATTTTGGACCTCTGGGTCAATCCCCCTAGCCCCCTAAACCCGGAGAATTGTTGTTGTTTTCTCATTTTTCTCTGTGGTTCCTGGGAGCTATTATCCAAGCTGAAGGGTTTGAAGGACACAATCTGGTTGCAACTGGCAGAGCCAGACCGATCACCTTCCGATGCTTGACCCTGGGGTCAATGTGTAGGTATTTCAATCTCATGGAGTGTTGGACCTTCCAACGGGTGGTTTTTAGACACCCCTTCACCTCTAAGGATCTATTTGGAGGGTCCTGGTTGGGTTCTTTTTTGGGGGAAGCATGTTTTTTTCGTGACCCAAGTCACCCCAAGGTCAATTGCAATCTCTCCAAACCTGGTTCAAGCGAAGCGAATCGTATTGCAAGGTGTCCATGTTGTGAAAATGCGAACGATTTGCCGAAGAAGAACTCTTGAAAACCACAGAGGGCCGCAGCCAACAGTTTCGCTGATCGGGTGATGTTGTTGTTGTTGTTTGCTTGGTGATTGATGCAGTGAGGCCCCTTTTGGGAAGGTTTTTGTTCATATTCTTTATATAAATATTCAATTATATAATACGCTTTTCTGGGTATTATTGGAAACAAGGGCTTGATTGCAGTCCACTGGGTTCACTGCAAGGCAGGCTTCATACTGGGTCTTTTCTTGAGCCCAATGCTGGTTTTTAGGGGAACAACAAGCACCCCCAATGAAAGGAACTGCTTGACATCTCCCCCAAAAGATCAAACACCCACGTGACACTACTCATACTAGTCTGTTCATGTCTTTTCGTTCCATCTGCACGTCCACCTTGTTTTTCTGCACCCCAGAAAACACACCCAAAGTCTCGGGTCCACTTATGTTTCTTTCATGTTCACCCCCCAAAACATCTGGCCAAGACCTGCTTTTGGCCTGAATCAGGGCACAAACGTGGTGTTTCCCGCGTCCGGGCTCCTTGGTCCCCAACGGGCCATGGCCATGGCCATGTGTTCTTGGCGTTCCGAAGCAGATGAAATCAGATGAAGCCCTGGAAGATCCCATGGGCCCGGAAAAGCCTCGTCCCCATGCGAAGCCCCGCTCGAACGCCCTCGAACGAGGCGAGAGCGCCGCCCAGGCGCGGAACCGGAGCCGGCGTGCTGTTGGTTGGAGACGAAGCGAAGCTGGTGGAGTTTCCAATTGGATCCACAGGGTGTTCCACAGGGTGTTTGGAATGAAAGTGCTGAGCATAGTTTTGAGGATGAGTTCCAAATGAGTTCTATGTTCAATGGATGAATTCCTTTGCTGGGGACCACATGGATTGTTTGAACATGTTTATATTTGCTTCCTGGAGCGGCACATCGCAAGATAAACTAACATTGATTGGTACATCTCATTGATCGGTAGCCCGTTGACGTCCTGTTGATGTCCAGGCCTGGCACCCCAACAAGAGAATCACAGTTTAGACTCTAGACTCTTAGATAAAGAAATCACCCCCACACATGGATTTTGGATGATGTGTTATCTTCATATACATGGGGGGGAGTCTTTTTTCATCAAGAGTCTACATGAGGGTGTGTCCCAGTAAACCAGTTACCAGTCAAAAATAAAGATGATCACGACTTTTTGGACTTGTCGGCCTGCTTTACTCATCATCCGAGGAATATACTATATCAGCTACTATACCAACCTATAATCCCCCATCGCCCCCGTTTCTATAAAATGGTATGCAAGACCCCTACACTGAATAGTCACCTGTAGATCTTTTGGCAGATCACAACCATCCAGAGTGACCATGGCCTGTAGATGGTTTGGTAGACAAGACCCCATACACGCTTTTGGGCCGACTAAGTACACCCGGCCGATGTGATCTCCCAGCACCTCCGTGGTCGGTCACCGTAACGTCCGTCGACGGGGACCGTTATAGCTATGGACTGCCATAGGACTGCCGATCAGGTGGGGTGGTTGGGGTCAATGGGGCAGCATTTATGTGGCAGTCCCACGGAGTGTATGGGTAAGAAGAGGGGATACTCAGAAGCGGAGTATGAGCGCAAGTGTTGTGTTCCCGAAATGTGACGATGGTCTGACATGGTCTGACGATTTCGGCGATCCTTGACTTCAGTCGGGCAACCTTTGATTCAACAGGACCAGGGTAATGATTGGTGCCACTCTAAAAGAAGCGTTTGCTTGGAGGACCCCCTACTCCTTCAGGTTAGACCTAAAACCCTGGGGGAGTCAGCCAGCGCCACTCGGTACTACTCGTCAGGACTGTGGAAATGGAAAAAAACAGAATCGCTGAGGTGGCGAGTTCATTCCACTCCCTACCAGGCCACATGCCCCATCAAAAACCTGTTTGTTTTTCCCCTAGGCCAAAAACATGGTTTGTGTGTATGTGAAAACCATTACTGTATTCGTTCACGGGTCGCAGGGACGCTGGTAGGAGGCACCAGTGAGTCTGCTAGGTTTCTCCAGTTCTGCCAAGGCAACCTTCTTCCGACGCGTTGATGGACATGCCTGCGATTCAGGATGTGCGCCCTATCCAGTGCAAGATCACTTCAAGCTGGTGTTGCCGTGATTTTGGCTTATAGGCTAAGGTTTGTATTCATGATTTTGCCACCTACCCCGAGTGGATCACCTTTTGTTCTTCACTTGCTTGGTGATTCCAATTCATTTGCGACACAAAGTCCTCAACTGATCCAGTGTGGACCACGTGCAGTTCTTTGAGGAACGGGTGTACACCCCACTCAACACTCTCCGCACGTTCGCTGGACCTTTCTGTATATGTTCCATGAAAAGAATCAAACAGCTCGTGAGTCAGTCAAACGGCTCGTGAGTCAGTCAAGTGATGCAGTAGATCCCTACAAGTCCAGTCGGACCTGGCGTTAAACCTGGTCATTATGTGGCATTCTCCCGGACCCCCGTCAAATGGAGTCCGTCAGACTGCTCAAACAAACAAACATTAGCCTCCATCCTCTCAGATTGATGTGCCGGTGGTCCATCTTCATGTGGGACCAGCCAGACGTTTTCAATGTACCAGGACCCTCCAAGGGGTGCCCAATGGAAGCGAAAAGGTAGTGTGGGGTAGTGCATTGGACACCCCCTGGAGGGTCCTGGTATATGTATTGATTCATAACTCCGCCCCTACCAGTGAATGACTTAACTCTTGCACCAGCTGTCTCGCCTTCAGGTCCCGGCCCTTCCACTGCGTCGCAGCCAGACGTCGCAGTCCTGGACGAAAGGCGCGCCAAATCAAGCGGCTGGGCGCCGGGTGGGTGGGTGGCGATTGTGGGAGAAGTTGAGGATTATAGAGCAAATCTCGGTCGAAAACTCACATATGGATCATCACAGATCCTGAGAATAGAGAATGCTGAGTCCGACTGTTTTCCTCTACAAACCAGGTGGTTTTCAGGCTGCATGTGAGTCTTCAGCGGGGTATGCCCTAGAAGTCCAAGACTACTTTCAATTCAACATGGTTTGGCTAGCGGCTAGGTGATCCGAAGAGAGAGAGAGAGAGAGATGCCTTTTGCTTTGGTGGTACCACGTTCTTGGGCAGAACTTGTGCAAAAGATGAACACACATACATTTTGCCCAGTTGGTTGACCTGTTTTAGTAATCTACAATCCCTTGTAAAGCAAACGTAAAACGATGGGTTGTTTTGGATGCAGACCATTAAAACAATTCTTAGGGATCCAAGTACCTTCTAAGAAGCAGGTACTTGGACCCTCGTGGCACCTACATAATAGTGTCTCCAATCACCTTCTGAGAAGGTACTTGGATACCTAGGGAATGGCGTGCCAAGAATCCCACGACATAGAGTTACTTTCTCTTGTTCCAGCATCTTCCACCTACATGGAGAGGGCAATGCGGTTGACCTACCTGGTGGACCGACCCATGTCGATCCGGTGGGCGCCGATCACGTCCCCAGATGGATGAGCCGATGGCGGGGGAAGTTCACACGTGAACGGAGCTACCCAACACGCTCCGGAAACACAGGCCGACGGGTCGGAGGATGTCCGGCCCCGACTGAGAGGGTCCAGGTCGACACATCCATGATGGGTTTGGTTCGAACGGGGGGTCGTTTTCGTTGGTGGTTTTTCCTGTGTCGCACCTTTTCCGGTCACTCTCGCCATCCTTCGTGTTCTCAAAAAGACACTCTTCGATTTGACCCCAAAGAAGCGGCCCCAAGCATCCCCAAGCCAGCCATCCAAGCATTCACTCCAGGCCCAGCTTCATTGGAGGCCTTTTCCCAAAGTTTGCCAGTGAGACCCATGAGCGGCAAGTGGCGGGTGCCCAGCAAAACCGCTCGTGTTGGCCAGAGTTCCCCTAGTCCCGCGCAGGACGTCCGGTGAGTCGTCCGGCATGACCGGTTTTGGGACGGTTTCTCGGGTGAGGTCGATTTTCCCGAACTGCTGCGTGAAGAACCAGCCTGATGAATATGATGGAAGGCTATAGTGCCAAGAGTCACATGGAGTTGGGTGGTTGAGTGGACGTTCCATTCAGTGAGTGGATCATCGGCACCCCTATCCTCCAAGTTCGGCACCCTGTCTTGTGACTCGATGTTCGCATTCCGGTTCCTGGAAGTGGCAAATCCAACATGACGGGGTACCCATGCAATATATTTTGGTGGTCTTCTGCGGTAGCAGCTGAGATGGGATTCCTTTCGTGTCCCCTCCCAGGGATGGCAGTGCTTAAATCATCCCCCATGCGTAGTCCAGAAGCGCCTCATAGTTCCTTTCCCATGAGACCAGCACCACCCAGTTCGGGTGGTTGATAGGCCGCACTATGTATGTTCCATCCAACAACCACCTGAACCAGGTGGTACCATATGACTATATGAGTGTGACCCCTAACCGATGGGTAGACTGGTATCACCTCCCTTCTTTCAGGGGTCGAACTGGGAGGTACTAGTGTCCCGGTGTTCTTTTCCAGTGTCGCGGCTTAGATTGGATGAACGCACCCAATCTTGGCGGGTGAACTGGGAGGTACTGCAGCAAACAACAGTCAGTTTCAATGCTACACTTTGCTCACCGGTATCATCCAAATGCACTCGTAGCAGTTAGTATCTTTGGTTCTGTCTTTGACCACATCCATTATGCCACAAGCTGTACCTGTCCATGTCCTGCTGCCTTCGGGCCAAGTGGCCTATGAAGCTTCGCTACTGCCTGGCACCAGTGTGGAAGAGCTCCTCATGAAGATTGGCCAAGCTGGGGATTTTGGCCCCTGGCTTCGTCTCTCCTTAGTCCTTGGGAGCCAAAAGCTGTCTTCAGCGACTACATTGGGATCACTGAAGCTAAATGCTCAGGATGTCTTCTACTTGATCCAGCAACCACCTGAACCACCTGCATCTGCTAGATGGAAGGTGCTACTTCTAGGAGGAGTGCAGTCAGGAAAGACAACGCTATGTCGCAGCTTCTACTCTGGAACATTTCATGGGGAGCACCTGGACACCATCGGCTTGGATTTGCTGAACATAGCAAAGAACATCACAACTCCGGCTCCCATTTGGCGAGAATGACCCTTTGGGAGGCGCAAATGGGCAGGAACGGTTTCACTCCTTGGGCCTGAACCTTTTACCAGGCACGGGCGCCCGTGCCGCTGGACGACTCTCAAACTGTGAAACACCTGAGAAATGCGGGGGGTGCTGCGGTGCTGCTTGAGTCTTCGCATGAACTTTTGCACGTTGAAACACCTCTCTATCATATATGGCCTACAGTCCAGTTTGCAAAGAACAGTTTTGCAATGTTTTGCAGAAACCCATTGCAGAGTGAAAACCTCAACTCTTCACCCAGAGGTGCACACATCGTTATGTTTGTCTTCAGCCAGCAAAGACGACAAAGCCTATGTGAGGCCGAGCATTTGCTTCGAATGGCGGAAGGAAAGTACGACTCAAGCGTGGTGCGATGCTTGGTGGGCACACACGGAGATTTGGATGATCTTGAGGTGCCTGGAACTGGATTCTCATTATGTAGAGTGCATGTTCACTAACCTATCTAACTATATAACCGCTTCTTGATTGAAGACGCATTTCTTTTGGGTGTTTCTATTTTTTCCCATGGTTTAAGTAGACGGAAGGAGATGGAAGCTGGACACGGATGGGGAACTTGTTTTAGTGCTTATGACATGCGGTGGATGTCAGGTGACAGAAGACGAGGTTGCAAGACTGGCAGAAGAGCTGAATTGCACATACCACTTGATGTCATGCAGGAGACCCGCTGCTGTTGATGAGGTCTTCTCCAGCTGCTTACGTCGATATTTGGAGCTCTATGGCAGAGAGACAACCCATAGCCAAGAGGACGCAGATGGGAAGCGTTGTTCCTGTCAAATCATGTGAAGCCTTCGCATTACCAACTTGGAGGTCATATTCAAATGCTTCGGGGCAAAAAGGCCTGTACAGTGACCTGCTGCACTCGCCCCTGATGTTCCACCAAGAGCCTGGGAAAACCGTGCGTGTAAGCTGCTCGTCGCAGGCAGTGTGGCTCACCGTGCTCGGAACATACTGGCTACTATACTGGTTAATTAGATTGGTGTGGTTAGTTGATGTTAGTTTGAACCCTCTTCAATAAATAGGCCTATTCCAAGTGTCATGAAGTTTGGAATGTTGTACCCATCGGTGAGCAAACACCGTTATTGTGCGACTTGGCTGTGGTGATATTCAGTTTCTTCAACACCTATGGAGACAACATGAGCAGCAAGTGATCCAACAGATTGACCAAGAAAGTCAGCCAGCGTCGGTGCCCTGGGGGTTCCCTATGCACAAGCCATGCTGTGTGGGCCTTGTGTGTGTGGTCGTGAGGGTCGAACTTGGACACTGCAACGGGTCCCTCAAAAGAATTCTTAAGTTGCTTCATCTAGACTGTGGATGAACAATCCAAGAAAACCACTCAAATCAGAATGATTCGTGAAGTTATATTCTACAGCAGTTCCGAGGGTGCGAAACATGGAGGACATGATCCACGAGGCCCAACTCCATGGGGAAGATTCTCAAGCACCCGAGACTCCATGGAACTCCAAGGGTATACCTCTCGCTTGTGCCCTCTTCTGGCAGAAATCCCATCATTTGGAGGAAACGTCCGACGCAACCAAAAGCACGTAGATTTAAATATGTAGTGATTTCAGATATGTTCAGATTACATATTTCAACTCTGATAAATACCCCTAAATATCCAAGTACCTTCTCAGAAGGTGTTTGGGGTGGGTTTGGAGGGTCCAGATGCCTTTTGAGAAGGTACTTGGATCCCTAGCGGTTTTCAAGAGTACGACACCTCGCAACCTGTCCCATGCTCCAACGGTGATGGTCCAGGAAGGTCCAGCTGGGTCAAGAGAATTTGCCCCAGCGTTTTCTGACCAAATAAATTCCCTTGGCTTTCCAAGAGCATGACAGATGAAAAAGGATGAGAAAGGTTGATCAGTCTTTTTGAAGCCTGAGCTAGAATGGTTGCTAAAAGAAAGATCAGCCAAACATGTGAGTTAGGTTGTACTTGGACAACGCAGCCAATATCAGCCAATCTTGCTACAGTTCGAAAGCAGGGTACCATCCAAATGCACAGACTAAAGATGACCAATCTGCCGGTTGTTAGTTGTTTTGAACCACCTCCATGATGGTTGAAGCTGTGCCTGTCCGTGTACTGCTGCCTTCGGGCCAAGTGGCCTATGAAGCTTCGCTACTGCCTGGCACCAGTGTGGAAGAGCTCCTCATGAAGATTCGCCAAGCTGGGGATTTTGGCCCCTGGCTCTCCTTAGTCCTTGGGAGCCAAAAGCTGTCTTCAGCGACTACATTGGGATCACTGAAGCTAAATGCTCAGGATGTATTCTACTTGATCCAGCAACCATTTGAGCCTAAGGTCAAGGTACTCCTTCTAGGAGGAAGTATGGCAGGCAAAACGGCTCTTCAGTCAACCTTTTCCTCGGGACAGTTCGTGGGCAACTACGAGTACCCGGCTTCCATTGGTGTTGACTTCCAAACAGCCATTTTGACTGAGGGCGGCAATCGGGCGAGAATGCAAGTATGGGACACGCCGGGCAATGAGCGCTTGCATTCAATCACCATGTGCTTTTTGCGAGGCAGGGCCACTACTAGGAAGACTGTCATTTTGGGGGTGAAACACCAAGGGTGGGGGTGGTGTAGTCATTGCATGAACTTTTACACGTTGAAACGCCTCTCTATTATATAGCCTACAGTCCAGTTTGCCAAGACAAGTGTTTCAGAAACTCATTGCAGAGTGAAAACCTCAACTCTGCACCCAGAGGTGCACACATGGTGATGTTTGTCTTCAGCCAGCAAAGACGACAAAGCCTACGTGAGGCCGAGCATTTGCTTCGAATGGCGGAAGGAAAGTACGACACAAGAGTGGTGCGATGCTTGGTGGGCACACACGGAGATTTAGATGATCTTGAGGTGCCTGGAACTGGATTCTCATTCTCATTATGTAGAGTGTTCACTAACCTATCTAACTATATAACCGCTTCTTGATTGAAGACACATTTCTTTTGGGTGTTTATGTTTTTTTCCATGGTTTAAGTAGACGGAAGGAGATGGAAGCTGGACACGGATGGGGAACTTGTTTTAGTGCTTATGACATGCGGTGGATGTCAGGTGACAGAAGACGAGGTTGCAAGACTGGCGGAAGAGCTGAATTGCACATACCACTTGATCTCATGCAGGAGACCCGCTGCTGTTGATGAGGTCTTCTCCAGCTGCTTACGTCGATATTTGGAGCTCTATGGCAATCCTGAAGATGCTCCACGTGGCGCAGATCCAGATGGAAAGCGTTGTTCCTGTCAAATCATGTGAAGTCTTCGCATTACCAACTTGGAGGTCATGTTCGAATGCTTCGGGGCCAAAAGGCCTGTACAGTGACCCGCTGCACTCGCCCCTGATGTTCCACCAAGAGCGTGGAAACACATGTTCGTGTAAGCTGCTCGCCGCAGGCAGTGTGGCTCACCATGCTCGTATACTGTATACTGGTCGATTTGGTTGGTGTGGTTAGTTTGAACCCTCTTTATTAGGCCTATTCATCCAAGCGTCATGAAGATTCGACGTTTGTTAAATGTGTTCGCCCTGAGGTAACCTACATATGAGATTATTTCATGCCTTTGACACAGTCCTGTTTGAGAAAGTACAAGCGAGAAGTTTGTCGTTGTTTGTCACGCACGGTCAACTTACAACCTTGTCAATGTTAAACAGTTGTACCCTTTGTTGTACCGTCGGTGAGCAAACACCGTTCTTGTTCGACTTGGCTGTGGTGATCTTCAAGTTCTCCAACACCTATGACGAGAGTCTGTAAACATAAAGCTTCCGCAGTCTGTGCCAACGAGGTCTGAGAAATCAATTTCATTTGTCATGTTGGCCTCCAGGTCTGACAAGGTTCCATTTCAGATGGAACAGAAAACTTCAGCACAGATGAAGTACGTCTCATGCTTCAACTAAACTGGTTCGAATCAGGATGAGAGGACTTTCTGGACAGTTCTCCATTTTAACCCCGTCAAAAAACCGGGGAACCCTGGTTGAAACTGGAACATAAACAGCCTAGACTACTGAGAAGGTTAACCTAGGAGGGTGCGCAGGGCTCCGCGTTTTGACCTACAGCCATATTTCTCAACCACTCTGTGTGAAAAGGTGGCTCCCCACTTCCTCATGTGTGTCGTTTAGAAGTTTAGGAGTTTTGTGTTCCAGATCAGCTGTGCTCCAAATTGCAGCAACAGTGCTATACATAATGACATGAAAGTTGGAGCCGGTGGTATAGACAAAAGTTATCACAAGTTTGAGTGTGTTTTATTTTATAATAGATGCATTTCTTCTGCATGGTTGGCGGTTGATTCATTTCATAGAGATCTCTACCAGCATCCTCCCTGCCGCGTCACCAATGATTCGACCTGTACTCGGCCCCTTCCTAAACCTTGAAAGAAGAGACCTGGCAGTGAGGATGCTGGTAGATCTCCCTTTTTCCATGGCTTTGAGGCTACTGGTATATTGACTATACAAAAGACATGTTCTCCTGATTGCTTGATGTCGATCCATTCTAGAGATCTCGATCCCTCCATCCCCCCACACCCTTCGCGCCCTCCGCTTCTCAAACGTTCCGAGGTCAGTGCCCCGGCCAAGTCGACCGCACTGAAACGCCACAAGATGAGCTCCGAGAAAAAGGGGGTGACTGCGTGCTGAGAGTTCAGTCAACTTACAAAAAGGAAGGGTCTGAGTATGACTGAGTATACAGGATATATACCTTACTTATGTAAAATAAGTTCGGGAAGGTTCCTGAAGGTCGGTCGTTGGACTTCACTGTTGACTTCGTGGTATCGGTCGGGTAGAATCCGACGACCTGGATGGGGATGGGATGGGGAGCAGGGGATGAGGGGCAGGTCATGCGGAGGGAGGGGCGGTTTGGTCGGTTGCAGGAGAGGTGGAGGTGGTTTGGGGTAATGAAAGTATTCCACCTCCAGGATGTGGAGGTGGAGGATTTGGGAGAGGGAGCCCGAAGCTGGCAGAGGCAGTGCAAAGCTGTCTTGATATGGGATTGTTGGGATGTTGGAGCCTTTTCAAAAGGGTGGCTTTCCGCATTCAAGTATGATATGCATGATAGTATGCATGATAGTTACGTTGTGGATCTTATAGCGCAGCTTGGCTAGCCACATTACCTGAGTCTTGTCACAGTCGTTCGAACACCGTTCGTTCTCACGGTTCGTTGTGACCCGTCTCAGGTCGGGCGCGCTGATGCAGCAGCTCTTCTCCAACGTACTCTTGTCCGGACGCCCCGGACATGTCACGGTGCCGCCGTAGGAGTGGTGTGATGGTCGAAGAGACGCTGTCACCCACGAGTGTAAGGTGGAAGATGGATCCAGGGCTTGGACAGGTGTTTGTATGTTTGTGTTTGTTTTAAGCACCAGAATATAGATGGGTTCAAGATCCAGGAAGATCTGAGGATCGAACTAATATAAACTAATGCATCTTGGAAATAAACGTTCAGTTCATGCATGTTAAAATTAATCCATTTTGGATCATCAATCAGGTTTCGTGGTGTGCTTTGACAAATCGGTACAACTGGATTGATTCGAGATTGGGTGTGTCCAAGTGAGGACATGCAAGCCAATCTGGTCTTCACCAGAACCCTTTCTTGGGTGATGGATTATATAACACCCTGATGGCGGGTGGGGTGGCTGTGGCATAGAGCAGTCTAATTCAGTGATAAGAAACCCATGACTACCCGCCATTTTCGTACATTTTTTATTTTTTTGAGTTTTTGATATTCAATGGTTCAAGGCTGAAGCCTCAAAGAGAATCAGCCCATGGAACCCCAAAGTGAGAAAAACAAGCCATCCATCATACTTCAACCTACGCTTCAAATTCCTACTTCCCACTAGATGCTCCAACTGAGTTTTCAACTTTCTTGATTCCTTTCACCCTCAATGCCCTTCTCTTGAGCAGCTGCTGCGGTGCGCTGCCTCCATCAGCGAACCCAAGGCCGGATGTGGGGAGAAGTCCATCACTTATTTCCAGCATCTTTTAAAATGTGTACCCTATCTAGAGCCAATCCTCATTAAAAGATTCCCAGTCTACCAGCCTATGGCCCTTGATTTTCATGTAACCTTTCACTGGCTGGAAGCAAGTGACACCAGGCAGCGGCTTATTGGCTTTGCGGCTGCGCGGCTCGTCAGCTTCTTGAATCAAAGGCACTGGTGTGGAGGGAGTGTGGATGTTAGGCTATGTTTTGTGGAAAGGTTGAGCCTACTTTATTCTTTTGAGGCCTGCGGGTGCCACACTCAACCGTTTCCAGAGATGATGTCCAACCCATGGCAAACCCACACAGACACACTTGACAGGCGGCTGGCTGCTGCGGCTCTTCGGCTTTGCGGCTCTTCAGCTTCTTGGGTAGAAGGCGCCAGGGCCAGGGCTCTGTCAGGGGATGCTTGGTCGATCGCAGCTGGGAATTGAATGGGTTTTGTGGGTTATTTGCACTAAAGCTGGCAGGGCATGGCCTCCTTTCTTGCAGCCCTCGTCGCCAACCGCCGGGGCCTGAAGTTCCCGGACGGTGAAGCAAAATTTTCAGCAGCATGTTGGGCTCAATAGCTTTGTAGTTGCCTGGAACAGGAAACACTACTTTTTAGGGTGTTAGGGACGACAAGTTCAAACATTGACCGTTATGCCAGGTCGTTCAGCCAGAAACCCGGCCAAGGCGTTTCTTCTTGCAGCTCCTTCGTGTGGAGGCCAACCGGGCTTGAGAGTTGGAAGGGTTCGATTTCCGCCTGCATGCAGACTGCAGAGTTTTATGGCTGAGACTGAGGCAGTTGCTATAGGCTCAACGGCTCTTTGCGGCTGTTTTTGAATTTACATGTTGCAACCAAAAACCAGGTCAGCAGTTCTGGAAAGTTTAATCTGTTTAATGGTATTGAAAGCTGAGTACAACTGGCTAGATGTTCTTCCCTGTTGACCTGCATCACCAGAGCCATTGCTGCTAGCCTCGGCACCCTTGAGAGGCTCGGAGGGAAGTTGCGGTTTGCTTTTCAACTGGCCCGATGATGGCTTTTGGCTTTCTGTTGAGTCTCAACTCATTGGCCACCAGTTCACCACTGGCTGGCTTGAATTAGATAGCGGCCCCACCTCTCGGGCACAGGCTTCAGCGGCTCCTCGGCTATTTCACTGCGGTCAGAAGGCAGCCCATCTATCATTCCGCATTTGGTCGTGTGGGTGAAGACATGAAGACATTGGGCCAGGTATGTTGAATAGCTTGATTCAGATTGTTTCAGTCTTGGATTGAAACACTGGCTTGGGGGTGTTTGTGTGGTACCAATGTCACTTGCAGGCTTCGCCGCTGCCATCGTTGTCTTTTCCTTCAGCAGAGGCAGCGCCGCACTAGATGTTTAAGAGAGTGTGTGTGTGGCTCCTTGCTTAGCACCCCTGTTCTTTGAATGTGGTAGCCCCAGAGATTATTCCAAGCCCACACACCCAAAAAACGATAACCTCCGCTGTTCCATCAGGCCCAGGCGTTTGGCGCTTCACCTGCTGTCACTGCTCCCCTGGCTTTGAGAAGGCAGGGCGACGGGACACTTCAAGTGTCGAGTTTGTCGGGCAGGGTCCACCGACGTCCAACTGTTTAAGCTGGAAACGCAATAGTATTAGAGCGGTCCATCGCACAAATGCTCTGTGTTTCTCAGGGCACTTCGGCTCAGCGGCTCTTGGCTTTTTGCTGTTTGGCTGCTGAATGTTTGGTGCTTTGCGCCGTGTCGTTGGGGGTCGCCCTGAGCCAGAGTCTTCAACTTGCTCGTCCTCAGACGAGATGGCAGCGGCGCAGGGACCACCACAAGAGATGGGCCCACCTGCTGACGACAGCGCAGGCAATGGTGGCAATGGTGGTGGAGCAGACGATGGTGGCAGTGGAGCAGGCCATGGTGGCAATGGTGCTGGAGCAGGCAATGATGCGTTGGTTTCGGCTTCATCGGCTTCAGCGGCTCCAGCTTCCAGTGCTGAATCCCAACTTGCTCAGAGCGATGCAGCCAGGAGGGCGCGGCAGGAAATCGCTCAAAGCGTTAAGGCTGGGATGTCTTCATTTGAGACTGGCGCGCTGATGTTCACCAGAGAAGAGTTTTGCCGCTTTACCTGCCACCCATCGGCTGTGCCCTCATGGTTTCAGCAGAGGTACAACACTACTGAGAATTTCACCTGGGCTTTCTGTGGCTTCGACCCGGTGGTGAGCTCATTTTACCCCAGCGGCTCCCGGAACCACCAGGATTTGGTCAGTGTTTGCGCCCGTTTCTCGGTCAAAAGTTTGATTAACTTGTCTCTTCACATTTCATTGGCTGGCGTTCCTTCATGCGCAGCTAGACTTGGGTTGAAGCATGATAGTAGTCAGTTGTTTGTTCACTGGAGAATGAGAATGATGCATCTGAGACATGGCCTTGCCGGATGCCTGGGTGGTGGATGAGGCCAAGGAGCTTCAAGCACGGCTGCCTGCAGCGCAGAATGTGCCAACTCGCTGGCACACAGTTGCTTGTATGGATTAAAGTTGTGTATTACGACATTTTAATGTTCTTTCGGGTAGAGTTTTCTGGGAATCTAACAAGGACATGCTGCAGTGGCAGAGCGGCGACGGCAGAAACAGGCACCCTATGCTCCCACGGCTCCTCGGCTTGCAGGCTTTGGCGCTGGAGGCGCAGAGCTACCAACTTGGAGCAAAAACACGAATGTGCTACCTCATTTCAGGATGTATTTGCCAAGAGCTCGCAACTTGGAGCTGCCCCGTGGATGCACTCTGCTTTCCTTTCTCCAAGTTGCGGCAGCCGACATCATTGTCGTGGACCAGCTGACAGACATGGACACGCAAAGCTCAGATCATGTTGCCACTTGAAGCATCAAGGGACAGGGCAAATGTTAAGTGGCTGACACTGAAGTTCAGCACGCGTTGGACCATCTGTGAGAGTGAGTTTGCTTGCTTAGGCATTTTGCTCAAAATGACGTCTCCAATCCTTTTGCCTAGTTTCCTAACTCATTGGCTAGACTCATGGGGGCCCCAGACTTTGTCGCGGATCCGCGCAGCTGCAGAAGCTTGTAATGAGAAGGTTGCGTGGCCGAACTTTCTCATCAACGGCTCCAATGGCTCATCAGCTTTGCGGGTTGGAACAGATTGTAGTGGCTTGGAAGCTCCAGTGCATGCCCTCCGTTCTATGGGCCTGCTGCACAAACATGTTTTCAGCTGCGAGATCAATCCGGCCCCCAGGACGATGATTGAAGCGAATTGCTTGCCTGAGGAAGCTTTCATGGACAACGTGATTGTCAGCTCTGCTGGCGCAGTGCCCTTTATGCATTTGTATGTGGCTGGGTTTTCCTGCAAACCATTTTCCATGCTTCACAACAAGACCAAGCTTCTTGAGGAAAAGGAGGCTGAGATTTTCAAGGCAGTTCTTCGACGCATCGGCAAGCTACGGCCTCCATGCTTTGTCCTCGAGAACGTCAAAGGCATCCAACGGTGCATGGAGAAGGTACAATCTATGTTGCAGGACTTGGGCTACATCGTAGCGGTTCAATTGATGGACCCTTCGAGTTTGGGGGAGCCCCTTCTCCAGCCACGTTTCTATTTCATCGGGCTGCGAACAGATGTGGCCGCTTTCCCTGCAGGAGCCTCCAGGCACATTCTCCAGCACATTTGGACTGAGCTGGGGCAGGCAAATGAACCTGCTCCTTTGGCTCAGCGGCTCTTGCCAAGTGACCACCCGCTTGTGTCGCAGCACCAACAATTCAGGAGGGCGCGATGGTCTCAGGCAGCAACACTGGCGTTTCCAACCAGGTCACCCCACATGAAATGGAAGGATCTGCATGATGAATGGAAGGCCAAACATTGCCACGCGGCTCCGTCAGCTTTTAGTTTCAGGGGCTGCTCGGCTGATGATTTGTTTTTGCATTTACCCCGGGAGAGAGACGTTTGGGACAAGTTGCGCACGACAGTTGGGCAAGCTGACCAGTTTGTGTGCGATTTGTCTCAAAGTTTGGGCCGCAACAGAGAGCGCACTGATGGAAAGGTGCCTACCATTACTCCCGGATCCCACCTGATCCTGGGCAGTGAGGGTCGAGCCCTGCTGCCGCACGAGGCTCTTCTGCTGCACACATTCCCACTCCACAAGATGACTTTCCCAACCCTAAGGATCCGAGAAGCCACTTTTAAAAATAGCTTCTGGTGGAAGCTAAGATTTTAGGCTGGCAGCCATGGAAAGTGGCTTCTGGGTTTTGAACTCTAGAAGCTACAAAAAGTGGCTTCTGCAAATCAGCATGTGCATCTTTTTCCTTGGCACTACTGGGTGATACAAGGTGAAACATATTGTACCTATGGTTGCATGGCCTTCTTTCAGGCTGAAGCTGGACATCGGATTTGGGCCTTCTTCAGGCTGAGCTGGGCAAGTTGACACTCAGAGGGGGTGTGTCATTCATGAAACAAAGGAGGATTTTCTCTGCTTCACTGCTTGCATTTCTCTTCCCACCCCTTCTGAGTGCCCACTGCTGCATGGAGGATGCAAATGTTTCATCCCTATAATTCCAGAAATCCTTAGGGTTGTGGCCTTCCCAGGCTAAATCAAAAATATGCTCAGCCAAGTGCCACTTAGGCTTGGCATGCCAGGAACAAACATCATTTTCATCTTCTCTTTGAATGTGAGATTCCAATGCCATGTACTGGCTCTTCAATGCCCTTCCATATTTGGCCAGCTTCCTGCCATTGAAAGCTTCCATGTGCTGATAGACTTGGGTGGTGAAGGTGGCAACTTTGTGGATTGCCTTTTGCAGGCTGGTGCCTGTGTCAAAATTGTGTGCACTTGTCAAAGTGCTCAAAATCCCCTGCCTGCAGAAATACCTGCATGTCGCTGCTTTAGTGTCAAGTTCAGGGGCCTTCCCAGGCTTTACAATGTCAAGCAGAGTGAGTTTGGGCAATTGCTCACTGGCTGGGACACCCAACTCTGAGTAGATAGTCTGGATATGTGCCCACAATCTGCTTGCTTTTTCTTGCTTCTTCCCTTCATAGCAGGGCAACAAAGCGTTCAAAACTTGCCCTGCACAGGCTGCACCACATCCTTCATCCATGACATGCATCCAATCAGGGACTATGGTGTGGTTGGTAATTGGGTTCACATGGAAAAGTGGTGCTATGGCCTTTTTTCTCAATTCCAGGCTTGCCAGAAATTGGGCCTTGTCCAGGCTTTGGCTCTTTCTCTGATCTAATGTTTGGCATCTCCACTCTGTTGGCTTGCAGGAGCACAGCCAACACATTCCTACTTTGACATTGTGCATAGGACAGCCATACCATTTTACATTCCAATCCCAATCTCCTCGCATCATAACTACAACAGCCTTGCACAGGCTTTTGCCAATTCTTGTCAATCGAAAAGGTTCTTCGAAAGGAGCCCCATCATGCCTTAATGCAGGCTGCATTCCCAATACCAAATGTTGCAGGCTCCAAGCAAGAACTTCCAAGATGGCCTGTGTGGTCTCTGGCCCTGCAATGAATTTGGCATCAACACAAGTAAGGGGGACTCTCAATTGTGAATGCCTTGAGGCCAAGAGGTTGACCGTGATGAAATCCAAGCTAGATTGATTCATTCTGCCTTGCACAGGCACTCCATCACCATGAATACCTAGAGGCACCATGCCTTGTGCAGGCTCACCACAATCTGCACAGCATTGGGCCAACTTTGTGGCCAGCATTGAGCCTCTTTCAGGCATACAATCTTGCCATGCTCCTGGCTGCATCAAATAGCCTTCCAACCACTCATGGGGAAGCAAGAATGGCAATGGCTTGGGTGATATTTCTTGTGTTTTTGGATTTTTTAATGGTATGTTTGCCCAATACAATTGACACCATGTGTTGTTTTTTTTGAGCCACCTCCTCATCGACCTGGCTGCATTGCCACCTAGTGCAGCATCTTCATTGGCCTTGTTCAGGCTTTGGCTGGTTGGTGCTTTGACCCTGAGGCCACCAGCTTTGGCTTTGGTGAGCATTTTCACCACTTTTGTGGCTGGGAGCTGGTTTCTCCTATGCAAGGATTCAATTTCTTCGACCAATTCCTCTTGGTTTTTCAATTGGTCTTCTGCACTAGGAGAAGCCCAAACAGCCTCTGCCAAGCAAATCTTGGCTTTCTTCTTAGGTGATGCAAAGGCCTTATCCAGGCTTGACAACAGCAACCATAGGAAAAACTTGAAAGCACCCATGCTTGAGCTAAAGATGGCTGCAGATAAAAAAATATCATACATCTAGAGCCAATTTTCATTAGTCCCCTATTCTCCCCTACCCCCACCACCCAAGTCCAGCTCTTTTTTTCATCCTGCTGCCATCCAGCTGTACAGGCCTTGCACAGGCTGCTATCCAATGCCAGTGCTTGTTCAAAGCCTTGTTCAGGCTATATCCCTTCATTCTTGGCCCAAAGCTTTGCTGGTCCCCAGGCCTTGTTCAGGCTCTTGAGGTCTTCCTCACATGCAGCTTTCACCTTGTTGACCTCTTCAAGCGAGCCTGGAGCATCTGCTGGGTCAACTTGCTGGCTGAAGGTGCCCAACCTCTTTAGCCACTCCTGTTTCTTTTTGCCATACTCAACCAAGCCTTGCTTCAGGCTGTCCATATGGGCCTTGACATGTGGGTCACTATCATTCTGCTTTTGGGCAATAGCTTCTTTCAACACAGAGCCTTTGTCCAGGCTGGTGCTGAGAGCACTGATGGCCTTCTTCAGGCTTTTCAAGGCCATCTTGTAGGCTTCACAAGGGTCAGGCTCACCTGCAGGGGGTGGGTCCTCATGGCCCCTTGGTGGATCAGGGTCAGGCCTTTGACCAAGCTTGAGCCTTTCTGCTTCAGGCGGCTGGTAGGCCAGCAAGCCTTCCACATGCTGGAAAGTGGGAGTGTCCAG